CGTTCAAATATACCTCAGGAGCCGCAGCAATGGGGTCGTTTTGCCGCATTGCCCAACTTGCCGTGTGTGCCCAACTGCACAAAAACGACTTGTAAAACGAAACTAAAGGTTTCTAATAAAATCCGGAATGGCCATTTGTTTCATATGAAACGAAATATTTTAATATGATGTCCCGCCTCGATTTTTATACGCACACATCTCTGTAAGTGGACGTATATTGTCGGCAACCCCGTCCGTCCGTCAACATTTCCTTGTAAACGAACTAAAAACTCGATTTTTTGATGGAATCAAATAAAATTCGGTATGTGTATACATATTCATAAAACGAAGATTAAGTTCGAATTTGAGCTATTTTCGACCGTTAGAAGCAGAGTTATTGCCTTGCCCAAAAATCTTGAATATTTACCACCCGCATGCCGTGGTGGGCGTATATGGCTGTGGTCCACTATCTAATTTTCTTTTTCTAAACAATCGCAGGTTCGTCGATTTTTGTAGTTATTAGTGTGGAGCCAATCAACCCCAGCTTCTACCTTGTCCACCAGGACATTCTGGGACTTATCTGGAACCAGTGGGGGCTGAGCCACTGCCGAATTATAGAGCACATGGAATACGAGAATTTCAAACTTCTCCTCGCTTGATAATTCTGATTTACTATTCAGAAGATTTTCACTATTCAAAAGATTTTCACTTTCAGGCATTTCAGTTGCCATTTTGCCATGGATTAGAAGGCTGAAATTTCGAATTTTGAACTGTGAACACTGATAAGCTTAGCTAAAAACAAATCCCGTTTCTGAGAGGAAGGTACGATTGAACAAACAGATGATGAACGTGTGCTTATGAGAAAAATTTGCTGTTAAATTTCTTGCAACATTCGTACAGAATGTCAATAAAAACCGCCTTAATATAAATTCAAATTAAATATAACTTACAATGTATATGTATTATTAATCCAATAAACATACAACTTAATACTAGGGGCGCCATATTCCATCTGATGATAAAGGGATGTAAAATACTAAAATATCCAAATGTTTTAAATAGTCAATTATTGAATCATATCAACGAGGAAGGATTTGGATATTGTTTATAACTAACGACAAGGAAGGTATTATTGTACAGGAATTGAAGTATATATGTCAAATGATAATGGTACGAAGATCACTCTAAAATCTAAAAAAAAATCTGACTTAAAAACTCCCAGACGATAATCAATGGTCATTGGTCATAACGGTTGACAAAATACTAAAAAGGGTCATACCGAAATTAGCTGAACAGACCACATTAGCTTTTGTATTGCATTGAACGATATTACACTGTCTCGTATGATAATCAGTTGTCATAATGGTAGAAGAAATACCTGGATGAACAACCTGCAACAGTTTTTGTAGCCTATGTTATTGAATTTAACGAAAATAGGAGGACTCGGACGGACAATAATACATTTTACCTTGTGGAATTATCGATACAGCGATATAAATGCAGTAGAAATAGAAATCGTGTCCAGATCTGTGCCCCGTTTACTCGTGAAGGCTTTGCATAGGATTTCATATTTCTTATACATAATAGAATT